AAGCATTTCCCTTGTGTCCGGAAGCGAGAAATCTCGGGACTCAAACGGACGAGAGATACTTAAATAAATGCAAAGTAGAACACACACACACAGAGAAAAGTGGAGAGGGACGGAAAGGAGAGCATGAAGAGAGCGGCGAATGACCAAATGTGAAAGAAAGAGAGAGAGAGAGAGAGAGAGAGAGAGAGAGAAGAGAGAGATAAAGTGAAAGAGAGAAGATGAGAGAGAGCAAAGAAAAGGATACGAGCTTTTCGACTGGGTAAACCCAACGAGGGAGGAAACGTTGTCGTAATCGTCGTTTTTAACAAACGATACTTATCTTTTTCCCTTGCAATTCGAAGCGAGACTGTTGGCCAGAGAGCTCGGAATCTCTACAACCCCGGCGAGCTCATTCCTGTGTTCCCTCCGTTCCAGCCAAACAAACGAGCTCTGATTCAAACGAATCGCGGGAGATAGAGAAACCAAACTTCCAAAGAAATATTAAACGAGAGAAAAAAAGGAGAAAAATATATATATATATATGTGGAGAGAAAAAAAGAAAGAATGAAATAGACTCGAGACTGCAAGGGAAGCGTGCTATAAAATTATCATCCATTAATGCTTGACTGTAGCCCGCGGAACTAATTAAGGGTGAGCTTCTCTGGACCGCTTTTGTTTAGTCGGTCACGAGAACGGAAACAAAAGAAGTTCTTTGCTCCTTTCCTCGTTCAGCTTGAAAGAGAAGCGTGTGCATTCATCCACGTAGGAAATGTGCATGAAGTTCCAGAAAAAGAGAAGGAAATCAAAACGAGATAGAGCGAGCCGTTGAATTTCAAGTCTTAGTTCGAGTATTTACCGGATATTCATTTAGCCTCGCAACGTTTTATTCGTGACTATCCCGAAAGCCATCGTCGTTACGCTCTTTTCTCGGGTAAATACTCTGTCGAATATCATAGGTGCATATAAAGAGAGAGTAACGAGAGTGGAGGAGTTCGATCGGTCGTATGATAGTGGTTGACGGTGGTGCTCGTGGTAGTAGTCGTGGTGGTAGTCGTGGTGGTAGTCGTGGTGGTGGTGGTGGTGGTGGAACGGCATCTTTTCTACGCGAAACAAACGACAGACAAGACGAGAACGATCGGCGAGAATCGCGACTGAATCCGCGGCTGAAAGCAAACCAAAGAAAGAAAAGAAAGAAACGAGGAGAACAAGGGGATGGCATAGAGATTGACATGGCATCGGTGACTCCTGGCGAACAGCGACGCAGCTTGTCTCTGGAAACGATCGAAATCGATCGAACGAATGGAAAATTTCTATCGCGGACCAGCTACCTCACTATTCGCGTGTGAATCCCTCGTATACGAGCTGTGTCTCTGTGAGTGGTGACTGAATGTGATTGTGATTGTGATTGTGATTGTGATTGTGATTGTGCGGAAGAGAGATCACGAAGTATCGATAGAATGATACCAAAACCAGAAAAGTGACAGCACGATGCATTGAAAGAGATAGACGGAGAGAAAATGAAGAGTGTTCTCGCGGAGGACAGGCAAACACACACAGGCAGCCAGACAGCCAAAGCAGATAGGCGGCAAAGTTCGCGAAGTCGCGCGATATTCTTCATCGAAATCGCGAGAATGATCTGATCGATGTTCCCCTTTTCCACGTACATTTTAACAAACTATCCCGTGCAACGTTTCATACGTGTATCCGCGTATACGCGATCGGAATTATCGATCGCGTGGATTAAAGTTTGCTTCGAAAACTCTGCAAGCGAGTAGGCAACAAAGTTCTCCTATGTAAGGTAAAAAGTACACCGGCGGCAACGAATTTGTCCCAGACGCGAATCTACCAAGTCAAAGTCGCTCTTGTCTCGATTAATCGTTCGAGTACTGGAAAAACCAACGGGGGCATGATCGATTGCAGCTCTGACGAAGAATACCGACTCGTCGCCACGGTGTAAATTTTGCTTGTGAGGAAATTTGCGATGGCAGGCAGGCGGGCGATCGAGCAAGCGAGTGTAATTGTCGAATTTTAAGCAAGCGAACATACACGTGGGCACACACCGCACACGTGAGAACACATACATACACAGCCAGCAACACGGACAATATCGATAAATGCCCGGTTCAGCCAGCAACACGGATTATACACTGGTAGCAGCGACAGAAGTTGCCGGTATGCGCGCTCTTTTCTCGATTCGCAATTTTAAAATCGAGTAACGATCCTTCTTTCTTTCGTCGAGATCAGAGCTGTTGTTATAGTCATTTACCTGTCTCGGCCAGCCTCTAATAGACAATTGCTTGACAAACTATAGGGAGAGAAAATCATGGCGTTCCCTAGAGGCTTCCAACGCTCCAGTCGGGGCGAGCCCTTTCTTCCCGATTCGACGATCGGCTTGCTTTTGCTTTCCGCAGCAATACTTTCCTTCGATATCTCAGCCGATTCTTTAAAAAAAATCACGATACAGCAAGAAAACGTACAAGGGTGCCACATACGCAAACGAGGAGAAAATATCTCTTTGTATTTCGGTAAAAAAATATCAGGTTGGTGAGAAAAAATATTCCATCTGCTCGACACCGATCGTCGAATCGATAGTTTCTTGAACGTGTGATACACAGTGGGAGAGAAAACGTTGCGCGTTTGCACACAGGTTGCATGGAGATAGAAACGAAGAGAAACAGAAAAAGGGAAGAAGGAGACGGAAGCAACTGAAAGAGGATTGTGCACGTACATACAAGAGGATCGTTATTTCTTCCGATATCTTCGTGTTCTGAACGTTAAACGAACGCATTCTTCTCGACCGTTTTTTTGAATTTCCTCGATTTTCGCGAAAAATCGGTGCAAAGAAGTTTGTTCGTTCCCGTCGAAATGTTATTAAAAACAAGAGAGTAAGAGACAGATCGAGAAGAATCGAAAACAAAGAGAAACGAAAATACAGGGAAGAGGAACGGGAAGAATAAGAAAAGAGAAAGAGTAGACGCAAGAAAAAGGAGACATAAAAAGCCCTATTACCCTCTGTCTTAATCGCTATGACCGTGATTATCAAAAATGTTCCACGCAACGTAAGGTTGTATAAAAGGGTTGAAATACGCCATCTACCGTAACGCGTACGGTACAATGGGATTGTTAAATGGTACCGCGCAATCATCGATGCTCCTTCATTCCTTCTAATTTCGCATCGCGTCAAAAGCGTTCTCTGTTTTCCATAGCGTCCTTTCCAAAAGACCCTGTGCATGTGCTGGAATTCACCGTTGCTGAAAAAAAATATCCTCCACCACTGGTAGCATTAAGAGTTATTTTTTTTTTTTTTGCATTTTTCTCTAATTTTTTCCTGTTTTTCCTAATTGCTTTTACAATAAATTTGCGGCAACTGCCCCCGCCGTCCGGGTTCGTACATTCGAAGCCTCTCAAGAGCCTGAAGCTCGAACAGCTCGAACAACTTGACTGACATCGACAGCAATTTCGTACATATATATATATCTATACGTATGGGCAGATTTCTTTTAATTTTAATGGCATCCCGCGTGTGAAGTATGTACGTACACCAAATAGTTGTTGACGTCTCCAGTGCTCGAAATGCGACACGTGCTAATTAGTGCAGCCACAGATAAGTAGCAAAAGAAACTGGAATGGAGCGATGCAACGACCCTTTAACCCCTTCGCGTGTGATCTTTTCTACTGAACCGTGAATACGTTTAACATTCCCCGTGATGCAAAGGAGTATTTCGAAATGTAAAACGATCGAGAAAATGGATTCTTCCGCGTAAGGAGGGGGTACACCCCCGCTCGGGGTTATCAGGTATCGATTGCATCTGCTCCTTCGACAATTAGTAACAAGTTAAACGGGAAAAGAATGAAGACATCGGATGTACACAGTAATAGTTCCGCACACACTTATAGAGACGTACATACATATATCGAGAATAGATATCCAAGATACGAGCATAGACAACGAATAATTATGCATGGGAAGAAAAATGCGGAGCTGAAGAACGTAGACAGAATACACGAAACACGCGCACGAACGCACGCGTTCCGTTTGCTTTTGCAACGATGCATATCGATCGGATATTTTCTCTTCGATCGTGGTTTAAAAAAAAAAAAAAAATATGTAAAAGAACGACGATTTACGCGCGATGAAACATGTCAAGGTTGACACGAAACGGGTGCAAGAACATGACATCGCCGTTACCGCGTGCATTCGTGCTACGGATTACCGTCTCGGACCGCGTCGATGCGTCGTCTTACAATTCTTCCGAGTACATTCGCGGCGATCCCAATGGGAACGAATAATATATAAATTGCTTGGCACCGGTGCGAAAGCATTTTCTCCCCTTTTTTCTTTAAGAGGATAATCTCTTTTTTGCTTCCGTCGCAAAAGAATCCGCGCTACAAGGCCACAATATCCCGAATATGGCTATTATTTACTACCGCTGTCTACATACTGTTTAAAATGCATATAAGTATCATAGGAACGAAGAATGCTTCTAGCGCCAGAGCTGAGGCAAATACTATTTCAAGGTCCTCCAACACGAACGAAATATCTTCGTTGTACTTCGTTGTAAATTGCACGAAACGTCACTCCATTCTCCCTCGTATATGTACATGCATATATATTTATATATACACGCACACATATACATGTCCAATTTCACAGTTTCAGGACTGACCGAAATAGTATTTTGCCCACCTCTCTCCAGCGCATTTTCATCCTTTTATTTTTCCTTTTTCTTTTCTTTTTTTCTTTTTTTTCTTTTTTTTTTTGACTTTGTTCCTTCAACTGCACGCCGTCACGTTCACCCGAGGATTGACCATGACGCCCATCTTTGCCGCAATATAACACGCAACGATTTTACCAACGGCAATTAGACTTCTATATTCCATGAGAGAAAATCTGGGAGTAAGAACTCCGGGAATAAATCGCTATAGTAACGAGGATCGAGGATTAGTACCGAGGATGATCGAGGATGAAGGTTAATGCGTAAATAGAAGAGAATAGTTTCATAGGGATGAGACAAACTCACCTCCTCGCATAGTGCCAGCATACGCCTCGTACTTTCCAGGGACTGAAACAAAAGAAATCACATGGATTAAGCGATACACGTGCGCAAATAAATCCTAATTATTTTATCAAGCTTCCAAAACGCGGATATAGAAGTTCTAAATACTTCAAACGACACTCGCGGTGTTATATATCTCAAACGAAGAAATATATCATCCCAATTCATCATCCTGTCAAGTCATAAACAAAAATACTCTTTGATGTGCAACTCCGCGAAATCTCTTTGATACCTGACACGATGGACTTCCTACAGAATAAATCCTGGCATCAAGTCGATATACACACCTCATCTGTAACTTGATCGGCCTTCAGCTGTAATTCCTGCAATTCGGTGCGAGGTGGTCCGCCCTCCACCGGACCCGGTGCTGATGTTGGGGCAGGCATCTTGTCGGGTGCCTGACGATTAGCTCTCTTCTATAATGGCACTTCCTCTTCGGTCGCTCTGTACCCCACGCAGCTCCTTATTTGGGAACTCGTATGTTCTGCAACATTAAAGGTAAACGCTAGGTTAGACGACCATTCTCCCACTGCTCCTCTGTGCTCTGGCGACTCGAGTGAAGCATGAATGACGACCGCCCAAATGCTACCACCGGCTCGCCTCAATGAAATCTAAGCAACGGTCTAAAGGGATCGACGACGAAATTCAGACAAGTATACATCGAACTATCTACAATCGCTTTGGTCCCCGTTCCGTATACCTGCTCGACCGAGAAAAGCAAATACCCAGCAGACGTACATACGCATCGGGGTATTGAAAGAGCGCGGGAGAGCAGAATAAATGCGTACTTCCGAAAGTAGGGGCCACGGGGTACGTTAATGAACGGTAGTCGGTGTAATACGACCAACGAAGAGTACAACGAGGCGCGAAAGTCTGTCAGTGGCGAAACACTGGAATGAGCCGATTCAGAGTGTGGAGAATCTGCGATTGCGAAATTTTACGCAGACATTTGGCAAAAGCTGCCTGCCAGTCGGTCGTCGTGGGTGCATGTATACGCGTTTACGTGGCGGAGCTACGTGTGTGGCGGTGTTCCTACGAAAATCAATACCCGACGACCGACCGACCGACCGACCGACCGACCCACCGACCGAATCGCGCGCAGACGCACACGACCGCGCCTTCTCGCCGTGCTTCGTGCTTCCTGTCTCACCAACCCTTCTATAACCAACCCCTTTCCTAACTCTCTTCGCGTATACACGCACACACGTATCGTCTGGACGACCACCCACCACTTCTTCCTGGGAGCAGCACGAGAACCGATCAGCTGGGATCTCTGACGACGTATGTAGGTTGCTCCAAGGAACACCGCGAAAGCTTGCACACACCGATGCATCCGCCTCGATGCGCCTCGATAAATAAGCTGCTTTTTTATACCATGCTTTCGACAGCCTCCTGGGAGATTTCCGCGTTATCGTAAATAGTGCTCCCTATAGCCCATGGAGGAACTTGCGTCATGCGAATGACGGGGAACTTTTGTCAGCCAAGTTGCGACAGCCAACTAGACGATACATGCAGGAAGATGTAATTCTTCGAGGATGTTCCACTTAGATATCGAGGTTGCAAACTAAGGCTCCCTTGAACAATCGGTCCAAAGCTGCCGTTCAGACCAGCAGATCGCGGTCTATCCCTGAGAATCGCGGAGACTCCTATTCTCAGCGAAGACTCGCTCACGGTTCGTAGCGCACGGAATACCTTGTTAATGCATTAAGACAACTAACAGGGAGAGCCCGGTAATTGGCACTTGTAAATTTAATTGCTGCCGGATAAGCTACCCCTGTGACGGATGAACTGTGGATACCAGTGACGAGCGAAAAGAGACTACGAAAGGGCATGTGCATAACACGATCCTTAGGGAAACTAGTTCACGCCAGGGATAATAAAGCGACGAAATTACAGTGGCCTCCATGGACGTTGATTTTGTACAACCCAAGTTATGGCGTGATCAATTGACTGAGCCTGTCCTTGCCCTCGAGACGAAGTTGGCTCGTTTCCAGGGCGAAAGGTATCGTGTCGCTTCTCCTGGTCACGGTGCACCTCGCCAAGATCACGGGCGACTAGTCAGACCTGGAGGACACCGCTTGTATACCCTCTCAATCGCAAACAAACAGATATTGGTGTTCGATAAAGCAAAAATGAAGAGCATTCGGAGGAAATCGTGTTTAGGAATCAATACCGACCTCCGACCAAATCTTCCTTCTCTCGAACTACGTGCATTCAAACACCGGTACCAATCAGACCCTTCTACAGGCGACTCGTATTAAATCCTCAACTATCTTAATCCTCGGTAATTATCCAAATATTGCTGAATCCTTTTAACGAGAACCGCGATAATTCGAAATTCTTTCAAATCGCTGACCACGCGACCCGTGTCGATAGATGACGAGACAATACCGTAAACTCTTTGCCTGGTAGTTGCGATTCGTTGCGACTCATGTCGTAATCCTAGATTCTGCAAGGTGTGTGCGAAGCTGATGCCGTTTTTGACCGTGAAAAACGCAGGTTGAGAAGGGAATCGTAATAACAATCTCGCGATCACGTGGGGGCATGGATACACATGCAAATCCGTCTTATGAAGCGATCGCGCAGCGCAACGTGTTGGATGCCGGCAAGATGACGCGGACATGTCACGATCCACACGCTCGCAGGTACACAAACGAGCTACGTGTTACTCGAATATTATGACGTACGTTTTCCTATTTAGACTGGCTCGAGGTCTCACACTCCTCGCATTCGAATCATATTCATTATTTAATACAAACGTTGGCCAAGTTGATAAGAAACTTTGCAGTATCGAGCGGCTAATGCTTATGAGGAAACAAATGAGTTAATCGCGGTGCTAACGAATCGATAGGCGCCGTGAAAGAATTGAAATACCTCTACAAACGTGCGAAACATTTTTCCCAATGTTAAAATTCGATGAAATTATTCGAACCCTGAATGAGCTATTTTTGAATACCATTCGACATACTTTACAGCATCCCTGTAAGCAACGTTCGAAATTCGATTTACAAAATGGTACGTGACGTTGCTGAATTTTAATCGAAAATTACGCGATGATAAATAAAAAGTCGTGACTCGTATAGAGGAGGTGAGAAAATTGATATTTTTATGCATTCTCGCGACTCATACTTGCGTCACTGCAATTACGCAGTTCATCCTCCGTCGAAGAACAAGAATAAAATACAAATATTCTGACGTCATGCATGCTCTCTCGCACACTTGTCCGCGCACACACGCGCCAACTCATGCGTACATATGTGCGTGCGCGCGCCAGCACCCTCTTATCATATACATATACAGTCGGGTGTTTTTCATCAATGACGCTCAGCTGTTAACGCCGGTAGAAAAAGCATCAAGAGATTACTCTATAATCGAGAATGCTCGTCACCTCCAACAATATCCAGTTTCTAATTGATAAACGATGAAAATAAGTATTTACAAAGTTTCGTGTACGCATTAGATAGACCGCGCATACGTATAACATTAAGAAATCAATAAATAAAGTAGCCGGTTCGAGACGGTTAACGCGATGTTATCTCACCGTTGGAATAACTTCAAAGATTACGATCGAATACATAATACGTATGTTTAAATAAACGTACACTTAATTAAATTAAACTCACTCTCGGTCGAATTTGTTTTTACGCTTCTCGAAAAGCTAGGAACAACACAAAGATAGACCCCTGCATGGTGCACGTTAAATGTCAAACGCATCTGATTCGAAAGCTAATAATTTTACGATAAAATCGAATCAGCCTTTAATACCGAGCAAATGTTTAACGAAGTATGCCCGGCTTCTCGTTTCCTCTTTGTATAAGGAAAAGTATTTGAAATATTCTCGTGTACGTGACAGATACGAACCGTGGCATTGGCATTGATTTAAAGTCATCACGTTTCTAAACGAATCTCTACATTCGCGTGTGGTGAAAAAGAAATCAGTAGCTGTAATCCAATTCACGCAGAATTCGAGTCTAAATGATATATATCTATAAAGATAAAAAAATAACAATCCTCACGATTAACAGGAAAATGTTCCCGTATCACTGTCGTCGTAATACAAGATTGGAAAAAGGAAGACTATGCAGTGTCTAGCTATTATTACTAACCGTAACTCGTCAATAAAGTTGTCTTCTGGGTGTTTCCGCCGCTGGTAATAATTTATAATTGGCTGATTTAAGAAGAAATCGCGAATTAAAAATTTCAGAACTATCACTGACACTTTTTTTATAAAAGTGTAAAAACCGGTAGAATCGAAAGTAAAACTCACGAAACTATGTTCTCTCCGACTACTCCGAGTACTCAGCTACTGAGTGAGAAACGAGCAGTCGCGGAGTTTCAGAGCAGCGTTGGACTTGAAGTGGGGGTAAAATGTCGTCGACAAGGAAAAGCACCAATAGGAAGCTTCGATTACAAAGCTGCAAACTCCAGGCGCGGGAATATGTATTTTATGTTATAATACTTATCTTTTGATAAAAAATTGTATATAATATAACATTTAATCGATGTAATAATTAATTATATACTTTAACTAATATTAGTTAGAATCAATTATTCAATTATTACGATGCAAACAATATTCCTGTGGTTTGAGAACCACTGATTCATTATGCCGATTTTCAAATATAATATCGCTCTTGCACCAAGAAAATAGCTATCGAGTTTAAGTATATGTTGAAAATAGTTCATGTAAAATAAAGAATATGTTCTATCTATAATTTAATTTATTTAATGGTTAAATAAATATAGTATTATGCTATGAAAACAATACACAATGCGAAAAATAAATATATATACTACAGATATTTATAAGTTATAAGAATATGTAGTTCTGCTAAAATAAATTAAAACTCTATTATATGAATTATAATACCATATAAACGTTCTTTTTTTTTTTTTTATTTCGCGTATTATAATAACTAATATAAAAATACTTTTTAGAAATATTTTAAAATATAATGCACATCATTATGAGATAAATACTTTCAAGAAAACAGCAACTTAAAAAGAATTAAGTGCATATTATTTACATATATCCCTAATTAAGTTTATTGTTTTATCTTTTTATCTAATTTATAAAATTTATCTAACTTAATAAAATATTTTCTAAAATAAGTGAAAGATGAATTAGCAAATAATGGAAAGATATAATATTCTGCAAAAGTTAAAGTAATATATTATGGTCTAAATATATAACTGTCAAATATAAATATAACTAGATTTTTCCATTGTGAACACTAAATTACCACATAACAATTTAATATGTTAAACATTATACATATACTAAATTGAATTAATAATCTATAACATATATAGATACAATAATCATAAATAATTTGAAGAAAAAGAAAAAATTTACTTGATTAATTATACATGTGTTTAGTTTGCAATGTACAACAATAAAACAGAGCAAAGAAATTTTATAAGCAGAAAAATAGAATATGTTAAATATTCTGAATTTAATAAAATTAGTAACAACAGAAGATACGTACTTTAATGTGAGTCAAATGATAGCTAGAGTAAAGTAGAAAATCGATACAACTTCACTGCAATGTGGTACTTTGTTCGCTTTCACCTATACGAGCTTCGTTTAAAGTTAGAATAGGTAATATATTCGCTTACCAATGGTAATTAATGATTTTCCATATACCGCGAGTAAATTACCACGTAATTTCGTGAATTGCTGTTTTTTCGAGAACACTGCAGTAATCACTGATGATCACATCGATACGGTGAAACAGCTGCTGCTTTTTTGACAACCGGAACTTGAAAATGGTTAACATCAGTTTTAAAAATGGCGCGAAGATTTGAATGTATGAACATACGAACATTTTCCAATTGTTATAGAAAATTTATCAGATATATGTAATATGTTAAAATTAATAAACATATCTACAAGATGTCCCAATCTAATATTTCAAAATTAGTTATGCATTGTATAATTTTTTTTCGTCATAAAAGAACATTGTATCAGATATGATTGCAAACAATTATAATTAATTTTATCATTTTAACAATTAAAAGATATTCTAAATATTTTGCATTAAATATCTTATGTAAATATTAACATTGTTATAATAAAATTCTCATACTAACGAAATTTTACTATATTTCAAGTACATAACATTTTTGAACTTGTGTATGTAGAAATATTTTTGCATATCTAAAACTCATAATCATGATTATGAGTTACAGTAAAAAGCTTTTGTTTTTTCTTATTATTTATGTATTTATCATTATATAATGGTATAAATGTTTAAAATTTTTAATTTAAATTTACATATTTTACATATTAAATTATATTACTTACTAAACAATCAAATATTTATATTAAAAAAAATGTTCTTTACATTTTATACATATACAAAGATATTAATATCAAATTATAATCTTGATTATAAGAATTAATAAAAGCAAAGTTAATTTAATTACTTAATTAAATTATAGAACTTATCTTATCTTTAATGCGATAAAAATGCTTCTGGAAACATAATAAGTTTACAATTGAAAACAAATGCATGTTTTTCTTAATATAAATGATTACCAGTCATTCTTACTCTGTCATTTCTATTTATATTGAAAAGTTATTACATTTATCGTTCCTGTTGAAATCTGTCATTTTTGCTTATGTTGTATATACATTTGCATGAAAAGTGGAACGATTGAAATCACACCGAAGTTTAAGAATTGATTATCATTTTTAATTAAATGATATAGAAGAGTATAAAAACACAATCAAAGAGTCATCTCCGTTAGTTAGAGGTCAAAACCGTTCTGTAAATGTAGTAAGATGGCAGGCTTACTGTTGTGTACAACGCGCCTTTTATCTTTACTTCTTATTAATTTATTCTTTGTCTCTTCTGGTCCCGTCATCAAATCAATACAAAATGTCCCTGAGCCCTTAATTCGAAGTGCTTTGAATTCTTTAAATCAAGATTCTCCTACGCATCATACATATAAGGGCGGTAACCTAATTAGCGCGCAAAAAATGGTATGTCTTCTATAAATTTCCTAAAATCAAATCTTGATTACTAGTAATAATGAAAATTTTTAAATTGTGTGCTTGTATTAATTTGATAAAATTTGATTGATTGATTCCTTACCTTTTAGGAAGAACCACCATATGCAATATACAGACTTACATTTGATTTAACTCCTATTTGCAAAGGAACATTGGAACCTTGCCCTCGAGAAGCATGTGCCATTGAAGTGAAACAACATGAACTTGGCGATATAAATATCTTAAAGGAATCTATACAATGCATGTATTTGTATCCTCAATCCAAACAGGATGATCCATTGCAAGTGCAAGAAAGTAATCATGATCAAGATCACATTATTGAAAATTTGGACAAACAAATTATCAATAATCAGAGTGTTGAGTTAGACCATGAAATTCAAAAAAATGGAGACCATGTTGACAGACCGTTTATAGCAATGAGAGCTTCTAGTCCTAACTACTGTCCAGGATGTCCGTATGAATTAAATCCAAATTTACCTGGATTTACTGCTTTTGGAGAACAAGTAGTAAAGTCAATGGATGAATTAATACAAAATGATTTCAAACACAAAGTAATTAATATTGCAAATGTAACTCGTGCTGTGCCACCTTCATCTAATATTATACAGTACCAAATTTTATTTTATATAGGAGAAACTAACTGTTTGAAAAATGCAGTAGAACAACAAAAATGTTTTGTACAGGTAAATCTTCCTGTCAAGATATGTTTGGTAACATTTGAAGAACAACCGTGGCAACAATCTAGTCGTAAGATAATAAAAAATAATTGTACTATGGATGATAATGCGGAAATTAAAGAAAATGTTAATTTTTATTCAACATTAAATAGCGAAGCACTTGTAACATCAGTACCTAATAGAGAAGAAGCAAATTATGAAAAGTGGGAAGCTCTAGAAAATTTGAGAAATATTCTGGATAATTATACTTATGTTACAACAAAAGACTCTGAAAAACTAGAGCAATCAGTAGTAACAGAACACCCTATTCTAAAAGTTTCAATAAACAAAAGTGACAATAATGATAAACCACAAGAATTTGAGGATAAAGTAAAAGAATTTAATGAATTTCTGAAAGATTTTGATGTACCTACTACAGAAACTCGATCAAATTTAGAAATAAACAAAGATGAAGTTAAAGAAGAAATCATTTACCCAACAAAGGTTGATTCTGCAATTAATACGTCACACACCTTATACAGGAATAAAAGATCTGTTGTTGGTGCACCTATGAGCATAAATGTTAATGACCCTATAGTGCAGGAACTTGTAAATAAGGGTTTAACAAAATTTTCAGAAAATTCTGAAGGTTCAAACGAACCAATGATAGCTGAAATTGTTGATGCTTCGCGACAAGTAGTATCTGGCTACTTATATCTAATAAAAGTTAAATTGGGTACAAGCAATTGTCCAAAAGGTACTAAGAACAATTGTCAGTTAAAAGAAGGAACTGAAATTAAAGAATGTTTATTTGAAATATGGTCTCAGCCATGGATAGATAATGGATCTCCAAAAATTACCATCCATTGTGATGTAAATAATCGTCGGAAACGATCTTTGCAAGGTAAACTGTATAATTACAAAATGTTGAAAATAGCTCAGGAGATGAAAGATCAGAGCTTATTTGCAAATTTTGTTAAGACATTTAACAAAACATATGCTTCAGCTGAAGAGAAGCAACAACGTTTCAAAGTCTTTAAAATGAATCTACAGATTATACAAATGTTACAAACATATGAGCAAGGAACAGCTCAATATGGTGTTACAATGTTTGCAGATCTTACGCCTAAAGAATTTAAAGCTCGTTATTTAGGTCTTCGCCCCGAATTGAAACGGGAAAATGAAATACCTTTTTCCGAAGCTGAGATTCCAGACATTTCATTACCACACAAATTCGACTGGCGAGATTATGGTGTAGTTACACCTGTAAAAGATCAAGGTCGATGTGGATCATGTTGGGCATTTTCTGTTACTGGAAATATAGAAGGACAATATGCAATTAAGCATGGGAATTTATTATCTTTATCTGAACAAGAATTAGTAGATTGTGATACTTTAGATGAAGGATGCAATGGAGGATATATGGACAATGCTTATAAAGCAATAGAAACAATAGGTGGTCTCGAATTAGAATCAGATTATCCCTATGATGGCAAAAATGAAAAATGTCATTTTGTGAAAACAAAAGCTACAGTACAAGTTATTGATGCTGTAAATATTACATCAAATGAAACAAAAATGGCACAATGGTTAACTCAAAAAGGTCCAATTTCAATTGCAATTAATGCTATTGCCATGCAGTTTTATTTTGGAGGAGTTTCACATCCAATTCACGCTTTATGTAACGCTAATGCCTTAGACCATGGAGTTTTAATTGTAGGATATGGGACAAGCAGTATGTACATATACTTTTTAAATACACTATTTTTTACACATTTATACAATGTATTCTTTTTCAGGATATCCTATCTTTCATAAAGAATTACCTTACTGGATAATAAAAAATAGTTGGGGTCCACGATGGGGCGAGAGCGGTTATTATAGAGTTTACAGAGGAGATGGTACCTGTGGTCTTAACAAACAACCTACAAGTGCTATAGTTGCATAACAAATATATTTAAGAAACTAATGGCTTTAATAATAATATTTAACTTCTTTAAAAAAAAAATTATATTTTTTTTACTAATATAATACGAATATTAGTCGCTTGTATTCTAAAGAATTTTATGTAACATATTTTAATGATTAAGCATCATAAATATTTTGTTTCCTAAGTAAAATTGCAAGTTTGCAATAGTATAAGGATATAAAGTTTCCATAATTATGATTATTTGAAATCATAATAATGTTTTCATAATAAAAAAAGCATATGGGTTACAAATATTTGTTTCTCATTTTGTGTTGATATTCGGTACTTCCTTACTATTTAATAATTTGCATAAGCAAACTTAATAATAGCAACCTTCGAATATCGAAAATTTGTTAAAGGTAATGTGTACAGACATTAATTTAGTAACAAATGAACTGAAACATCAATTCAGAATGTAATTAAAAATTATATTTCTCTTATTTTGACAGTCATAAATATATTTCCTTGAAATCCTAAATTAACACAAGCAATGCATTGTTGCTATCAGAAGTGTTCATATACTTTTTAAATTTCATTTATTGTAAATTATAAAATTTCACATACAGAAAAAATGTCTTTAATGTATGTGATTTCTATGCCGATTTACGGCAAAATTCGGATTTTAGTTACAAATGCGAAATTACAACATATAAAATAATATGCATCTGTAACTTAAATACAGGGATTCCAACGATAATTTCTATAACTTGAACGTGTTATAGAAATTTAATTCTGTTCTTTGATTAATTGTTTATCAAAAATGTACTGACAAATGTTAACAATATTTATTCCGTGAATACGTCATAAAGTGCGCTTACGTAGTATCTCTAGGATATTCAAATACCTATTTTTCCATTTACACATATATCCTAATTTCTTTAAGCGATACGTTCAACGCACATCAGCTGAAAAAAGAACTATAATATTATAAACTAAGTACGCGAAAAAAATACTTATTACAAGATATAGGTAACGTTTATAAATTGCTACTTTCCTGTTGAAGAAATAACACAACGTCACGGAATAAAATTAAACACAGAATGTTGCATTATACAAATCCAATGCAGATAGTATAATTAGGATATATTTCACATAATGTACTCTGTTTTCGTACTGTATGGCAATCTTTATCAACTACCTGTATTGTGTTATATTTGTAATACATTCAATATCAGTTGGAAATTCTTTAGCATTTCCTGCACTGTATTATGTAAAATACATTAAGAAAGAACTTCATGCAAACAATTAATTGTATTGAAAGAAAAACATCAGTACGACAAGTATTACTATTATTCGTGTCAGGTCACTGATGTGTCATTGGAACTTGAAAGAATTTTGCTTCCTTTCTTTTTGTTTGCCATCTTTAGATGTAAAAATAAAGATTATAAAATGTACAGTAGATACAGCAACGCAATGAAAGCTGATACAGGAGAAATTTTGTATTGTCCACTAATAATAATTATAAGATCCCCATTGATTATATGGTCCATATGCTTGTGGTCCTCCTTGTCCATATTGCCAATTCTGATAATTGGCATAATTAGGATCTGAAGGGGGTGGATACTGTTGATAACCCTGTTGATATCCACCTTGACCACCATATTGACCACTTTGAAATTGTTGCTGTGATTGATAAGGTCCACTTGGGCCACTGCTATACTGGTATGATGATTGTGAACTTACAGATGGTGGAGGTGGTACATTAGACTGGTCTCCAGTTTTAACTTTTTTGGGAGGAGAAGTATCCCTATAAAATATGAAATTTAAGCTGTTTCATAAGTGTCGATGGTAGCTTAAATACTTTTTTGTACAAATAGCACGTACGTTTTGGTATCATCGTTTTTCGTCTTTTTCCGTTCCTTTGCTTGTTTAATACATTTCTGAAATTGTTCATGAGCCTTCAATACTTGTCGAATATCTGGACTAAAATCTTCAAGGAATTCTACTTTACGTTGTGCAAAAAGTACTCTTTGTTCAAGATCAGCATGTTCTCGTTCTATAAACATATCCATGTATCCCACAATTTCTTGAGTATCAACTGGAGTTCTTTGCATTCCCAGATCAATCAATTGTAAATAAAGTCTTGGATTATCTTTATCTTTTTCTGTTGCCTAAAAGATATATAACATGAGTGTATAATGGATAAAATTTAGAATCATTCATCAAAAGTACAATCAAGTTATAGAGCCAAAATAGATAAAATGTATTATGAAAATTAAAACGAGCATACCTTCAATAATACTTTGATTGCCTTATCCACATCATTTTTTACTTTACATAAAAATCTTGCATATTTGACTACAATGTTATTCGCGATAGTTCTATTCTTACTATTGCTAATATAATTTTCATACAATGTACAAGCTTTATCTAAATCCCCTCTTCTACGTTCCAAATTTATTCTTCGATATGCCACTTGTAACATGTTTGGTATTACATTATCAATATTTTCCAATATGTTTGCTGCTTTTTCGAAATTACCCTGACCTTCTTCAAATGTTGCCCACTGTAGATGTAAATTTGGTTTCTTTGGATGATGCACCATGCAAGCTCTAGTATATACATCTCTTATTTTTTCCACATTATCACCTTTCAAGGATTCCAAATAACGAACGAACTATAAGAAAATTTAAGGCTGCTTAAAGCATTCATTGCAGAAATACTTCTGAATGAATGAACATAAGTAAAACTCACTCTCATCCAGAATTCATCATATAAAGCACATGCTATTAAACATCTTTCAAATAAGATAATTATCCGATTCTGATCTTTTTGTTCAATTTCAAAATCTAAATATTCCTTCCAATTTTTTAACTGACATCGTTCTAAAGGTTTAACGTGGAAATATGGCCTTTTAATCTATAAATAAAAATTAAATATTTATATTACAAAAATAAATGTTGCACAGAATTATACAACATGTATACCTACACCTTCTTCATATGACCATCTTGCAGCAACTGCATTAATATTAGCTTTATGCATTTTACGCCTACTACTAATAATTTTTTCCCTTATAGCACGGGTTTCTTCATCAGTTGGCGGAAGTTCATGTGGTGGTGGTTCTTCTCCAGGTGGTGCATCATCTGCTGCTGAAGTAGAGGTACTATCATCTGACTTCAGAAGTGCTTTCACTTCAGCACGCAATGCAAGAAAATCATCAACATTTAAAATACGATTTGGTAGATTTGAAGAAACAAACTCTTGAAATGCATCAAAATGGGAAATATAACCAAGTGTTGGAGTACACAATAGACGATCATATAAGGCTGTTACTCTGCTTAGACGTTTGCCTTCCAGTTCCCATTTTATATAGCTTTCCCAAAGACGATCAGATCTGCACAAAAAAAAGGTACAAATCTGTTTTAAGTACTTAAGTATAATTAGATAAATATGTGCATAAAATCAAAAATAATTCTCACCTGAATTCAAGACCACATGCTTGGATAGCTCTTTCATATTGTTCTCGAAGTTTCTCTTCATCTTTTTCATAGACGGTTTTGCAGTGGTTGATGTAATGAAGCCAAAGGTCGACACTGAGCGAAATAGCTTTCAAACCTTGGTCGAATACCTGTAGTAATGGTTTGCAATCACACTTAGAACAGTTTACAAGTGATTGGGCTGGTGGCGGGTAGACTTATACCTATTTCTTTTTTGTTTTGTTTTGTTTTTTTTTTTTTAGCTTTCGATAAGCATTACGGTTTTTTTAGCAACGTATACTCACATATCATACGCGTACTGTAAATAAAGAGGTTTAATTAACACAGAGATTGCAGAGCATTGTGCATTCACCTTAAAGTCAAGGAGTGTTCCAATCTGGGTGCCTCTGTGTCTTCCGCCACTTTTTCTTGCTCCTCTCTGGCATGTTCACGTCCTAAGTCTTTGTTTCTGACTTTGATTTAAGACCCAACCCAATCTTACTTACATTAAGTAAGGTACCGCATCTTATGCTTAAGTTACAATACTTTCTGTAGTAAGCTATGTGTACAAATGCTTACAGTAAATATTACACACAATTTCTTGCACGGTAATATCGCAAATTGAAACAACTAGCCTTCGCTTGACTTACGTATTGTATGTAGAATATTGATATAACGGTATAAGTAAAACAGTAATATACGCAATAATATTATAGATATCGCAGAATAATTAAGTAACTAGCTATTTGGTAAACGGAGAGAGTCGTATAGGTGCCGCAAGACGTGCTAGGCTGTTGGAAGGGAAAACCATATTTACGTGCGTGCACACTGCCCACGCGTCTTCCTAACTCGAGCTATTTTCATTAGATTGCGTTAATTAAATGATATCATAATGAGAAGTAGACCTAATAAATATGGTAAACGAGTTGACTCACCCTTTGGACATTTTCGGGGTTGCCCTTCTTCTTCTCGTAATCAGCAAACTTTCTCCAGTAACCGTAGCAATATGGATAACGCTCCAAAAATTTGGTATAAGCCTCACGTGCAGCCTCTGCGTCATTCTACACGAAAAATAAAAATTACATATATTAAGTATAATTTTTATTATGTTTTTATTTTGCAACTTACTTCTTGATCAACATATTGAAGAAGATATGTCCATCCTGTGAAATCTGATGGATCTTCATTAACAGCTTTCCAGTATTTTTCTAATTCTGGTAAAGTTTTTTTCTTTGGCGATGCTGGTTTAATTTCTTGTTTATTATCTCCTGAATCTGTTTCTATTGAAAGTGCAACCTTCTTTGCTGGTGTTTCATCATTATTTTCAGATGTTGGTGAACTAGGATCATATTCTCCTTCTGCATTTAATTTACGCTTATCTGAAAGTAAATTATCGCATAAGATAAAAAAATTTAAATACAACAATCTTTTAAATTAATTAATTTTTATTTTGCTTTATACTTACTTGTACCTTCCATTTTATTCTTCTTTTCTAGGGTTTTACTCATTATTTTTGTCCCACTTTTCTTTTTCTTTTCACTGTCTAATGGCAATTCATCTTCAGAAACTGATTCAGTTTCTCCTAAATCTGCAGGAG